ACACTAGCTAAATCTGATCAGATTTAAATCCGATATGCCCAAAAATCGGATCTGGATTGAGCGTCTGAACGTAGCCTATGACACAATCTGAGAATATGGCACATCTAAATGTCCAAGACGGTGTTTCAGACACATGAGATCCCATTTGTCTTACCTCAGAGGGCAGGATCGGCTGATTACATGCTGCACATTTCGGTGCTAGAACCCTGAAAACAAAAAAAAGAGAGAAAACTAATCACACAGATCATATATTAAATGGCTTCCATGAAAGAAAAGGTATCCACATGTCTCCCACAGTACAATAATATATTTATTATATAAACACTCTTAGAAGAAAAGGTTCTATCAGCGCTACGTATTTGGAACCCCTAAAAGGTTCTATACACTCTTAAAAAAAGGGTTCTTCTGGGTTCTATATAGAACCCTGAGGTTCCATACTTGGTCAATAGAATCTTTTACCAAAAAAAATGGTTCTATATAGAACCATTTTGGAGTTCCATATATGAAGCGGGACATGGAACCATTTCTGGTTCTATGTAAATAGAACCATTTCTTCTAAGAGTGTAATATATAATTAATTCGTTCAGCTGCTCTCCCTCCGTCTGTCACATGCACACACGCACACACACACACAGCCCCTCCCCTCTGTGCACACCGCGTCTCCATGAAAACGAGGGTTCGACGTTGAAAGCAAGTGCGAACGGTTGATATCCCGTGAACATCTTTACACAATCACACATTAAAAAGTGGTGTACAAATATTTTAATTTCTAATTTTGTCAGCGTGTTAACGTCGACCCGAGAAGCGATTGCGCCTTCGTTAGAAAGTTAACTAGTCGCAAATTTGAGGTAAAATGCACTTGGGTTGTCGGTGTCAAAACTCTATAAGCTGTGATTCAAATATTAAATAATGTTGTCATTATTGTACTCTTACACCGAATGTTTGCTGCTTCAGTCCAGATGAGTGTTGAATAGGGTACATTTATTATAGGATGTGAATCTTATATAGATGATGTGTAGATGTTCGGTACGGCTTGTGGATTTTGTAAGGTAAAGGAATTTCACATTGTAGGCTACATTTTATGTACTGGTTTTATTGTTGAATAGATATTTCTAAAATTGTATGATGTTTTTTGTTGAGTTATTATTACACAATTCCTTTTCTGACCTTTTTGAGTCTTGCCCCTGTCAAATAACCCAAACTACAACAAAAAACCCCTGTAAAACTAATAAAAACTCAACTAAAACTAAGCATTTTCAAAAAATAAAAACTAAGCAAACCCACTTTAAAAACGAAATTAAAACTAAACTGAATTTGAAAACAAGAATTCTAAACGAAATAAAAATAAAAACTAATGAAAAATGCAAAACTATAATAATCTTGGTTTGAAATGAATTAGCATTTTTATAGGAACTGGTTAAGTGAATAATACAACGACTCTCTCATAAACCACCTAATGTTTTGTTATTCGAAACATATATTTATCAAAGACAGTCAGACATTTATACGTGCTCAAATATGTTTGGATGGAGTCGAGGGGAAAAGAGGACTGAGTGGAAAGGCTCGGTTTGATTTCATCTCCATATGGTCACCACCTGACTGAGGTTCAGGAACGACAGTAATAATCGCTCATGGCAAAGGATGCATGGGTAGAATTTACAGTGCAGCAAAGCAGACACACACACACACACACCCCTCAACACCAATAAAACTCACAATAAAATGTCATTACATCAAGCTACTGCTAGGAAAAGGCATGTGAAAGAAATTATAAAGAATCCTCCACAACACATCCACCATCAACTGAAGGACATTTATAGCTCACTTTATTCAATCTTTGCTTTCCCAGGCAAACCTTAGTCACCATGAGATCAAAATTTACAATTCTTATTTTTTTTTTGGTTGGGTGGGGGGGGGGGGGGGGGGGGGGGGTCATGTAATTTTTTTAGCAATCAAAAAGCATGTGTAATTAATTGAAATCATATTTTATTAACTTTTTTTTTTTAAATATATAAATGAAAATTCACACTAATTTTGTGTTTTTGCTGGTAATAAAATGCAGCCATAAAACACAAATTATCATTTATCAAACTTTTTGTCAAATAACATGCTGCACAATGAGATTTACTGTTAAAACAAAACATGGATTTTTCCTTAAATTCAGTTTTGTTTAAAAAAATTCATAATTTATTTGGATTAGTGTTAGTGTATTATTACATTATTAGGACATATCTAAGTTCTACTGTACAACAGTAATATATTTCTGTCAAGTTAAACCGAACTTTTATTTTGACGGGTTGCCGTGAAGACCTTTTGAGGTTCTTTGTGTTTGTTCTGATGATAGTTTCTCAAATGAAGCGGTTAAATGATCATGAAGTGACTTTCAGAGTGGATCTAGAGCCTGGAGAGGAAGTTCATGCATTTATGTCTTCAAAAAACAGCGCAAGCGTCACACGTGCTAACAAGGCAAGCAGGATTCGTATTTAAATAGTCTTTGTGGTTTAATATTCACACACACTAGTCTACATCGTGATTTGATTTCAAGTGTACTGAACCGCTTTCTATTTATTCCTTGAAAATATACAATAATTTCCTTTTTGATGACTGGATTTCGTCAGCATTTTAGGGGGGGCGGGGTTGTTAAAACAATGGTAGGGGAAACACTGACGCGGCTGACATGTGTGTGGTGCGTCCGTGTATTCGGGTTCAAATAAATATGGCTGGGCAAAAAAATTTAAGTCTTCCTCTGTGTGGAAATCCTTAGACATGTGTGTGAAGATTGTTTTGTACAGCGTGCGTCTCCCTCAGACTGGAACCGAAGCTCAGCCGCACCAGACACACGTCAGCCGCGTCACTGAACGCAGATCCACAACAGAACCATAAGACAATACAATGCTGAATAAAGTCGCAGTTTTTTGTTATTTTTGGACCAAAATGTATTTCCGATGCTTCAAAACATTCTAATGTCACATGACTACTTTGATGATGTCTTTATTTCCTTTCTGGACAAGGACAGTATACCGTACACACATGTTCAATGGAGGAACAGAAAACTCTCGGACTAAATCTAAAATATCTTAAACTTGGGACGACATTAGGGAGAGTCATTAATGACATCATTTTCATTTTTGGGTGAACTAACCCTTTAAATATAAGATTAAAAACTCACCTGTGGTAGTCCTTCACACAGTAGATCTTGTTCTCCGTGTCCACAGTGAAGGGCACTCCATCCAGACTCTCGTTACAGATGGCACAGCGGAAGCAGCCGGGGTGGTACGACTTTCCCAGCGCCTGCAGGATCTGTGGAGGAACAACACGTGATATGCCTTTCCTCATGTTAAAGGAGTAGTTCACTTTTGCTGATAATGATTCTTTTTCTTTTGCTGATTCAACGAACGAAACAAACGAAAAGATTCGTTTTTATGAACGATTTCGAACAGGAGAGTCACACAGAACAGAGCAAGGTGAGCATTTGAGCTTATAAAACTTAAACTTTGTTATTTATTTTTTAAATGAGCGATCGTTTCGCTTGATAAGACCCTTATTCATCGTCTTATTCAAAGCCCTTTGAACAGTTTGCACTGAAACTGTCATTTGGACCTTGAACCGTTTGGACCCCATTGAAGTCCATTATATGGAGAAAATCCTGGAATGTTTTCGTCAAAAACCTTAATTTCTTTTCGACTGAAGAAAGAAAGACATGGACATCTTGGATGACATGGGGGTGAGTAAATTATAAATTAAGTTTTTATAAAAGTGAACTACTCCTTTAATATGACTCTGGCTTAATCAGACCCACTATATATAAAATGCCTTTAACTAATATGCACATTTAAAAGAATAATTTGACACTTAATGTGTCCAATACATATTTTTACATGGTACTTGTATTTAAAAAATACCTGCACGTAATTAAATCTTACCACAAAACCTGTCCCTGACCGCAACAACAGCCCACCTCAGCACAACATGAACACAATAAGTACACTGTATCAAACAATAGACCCCAACTAATATAATAGTTCAAATCAACTAAAGGAACACTGTATAATATTAATAAGGAGCTGTATCAACTCAAACTCGACGCTTTCCTCAGGCTCCAGTGGTTTTGTGAGTAACGCAGGGTGTGGCGGCACATCAGACTCACCATGTCCATGATTAAATGTCCGCACACGTTGCATTTGTCGGCAGACTGCTGGAACCCAGAGTACTATTAGAGAAAGGAGTGAGGACAGAAGTGAGCACTTCATTTTCTCTAACCCACACAACTTTAACAGCTCAGACATAATCACTCCTCTAATACTGCATTTTTAGTGTCTGGAATGAAGTTTCACCTCTATTTGAACGGGCCGAAAGGGAAACATCTCTTTTTTAAGCAGTTCAACCAGTTACACTATACACATCTAGCATACTTAAAGGGATAGCTCACCCCAAAAATGAACATTTGGTCATCATTTAGGTTTACTAACCATCATGCTGTTCCAAAGCTGTATGAGTTTCTTTCTTCTGCTGAACACAAATGTTGGTTGACGGTAGCCGTTAACTTCCATAGTAGGAAGAAAATACCGTGGACAGAACTGGTTTACTCTGGGCATGTGTGTAAAAACATATTGGATTCATAGCCTCTACAAAATAGAGACTTGTGAAAGTACAACAGCACGAATTAACAAGGCTAAACCTAGTACCGTTGATGCAAGCCAATTTTTTCTTCCAACATATTGGACTATATAAAAATTTTTCTCCTTTCATATTGGTAAATAATTGATAATACGTCTGTTGCTCCCCCTTCCCTGTCTGCTTGCTTGAGTGGATGTTATTTAGAGTTGATCACCAAAAAAAAAAAGAGAAAACACTATGAGATGCCGCCATCTGTGGGTTACCCATTCTTTAAAATACCTTCTTTCATGTTGAACAGAAGAGAGAAACTCATAAAGGTTTGGAACAACATAAGGGTGAGTAAATGATGACTACATTTTCATTTTTGGGTGAACTAACCCTCGACACACTCACTCAATGGCCTTGGGGGTTACCAAAAACTTTCAAAACACAAAGACGTGGCACTCATATGACTTATGAATGGGGAAAAGGGCCAAGCGCAATATGTCAATAGAGCCAATCATCGATGGGTATAGTCATGACATCACCGCAGCTGCTGTTAGAGGTTGCTATAGACCATTTCACAAGATGTAAACAACACTGGTCCAGAAACACGTCCTGTTTTTATTTCACATGTAAAGAAAACATCTTAAAGATGTTTGTTTAACGTTTTGATTCAGTTTAATATGTTCTGTTGGTTGTATTTTATCCCAGCTTTTATGTAGTGTTAAAAAACTGAAACAGGAAGACGTGCTTCTGGACCAGTGTTGTTTACATCTTGCAAAATGGTCTATAGAAACACTTATTTCTATTTTATTACTTATTTCTATTTATTATAATATTAATTTTCTTTTAAGGCTGGTTGAGCCTGAAAAATAAGCTTTTTAACACTATTTGAGCATAAGAAACTGCATTTACAGGACCGTTCATGTCAGATTTTATGCTCGGCCAGCAGTTTTTAAGATTTCAGGATTCCCCCGATTATTTAGGACTTGGTCTTGGATGCCCAGAGATATTGCAAATATGGCCGCCTTTGGTATAACAAAAATCAAAACAATTTTTTTAGGATTCTGAAAAAAATCAGATAAAAATAAAAGCTATGACATTCACTGAATAAGGAATATTTGTGTATTACTAATCAAATTTATTAAAAAAATATGTGACATTGATTAGGGGAGAGCGGGGCACAACCTAACGCATTTTGGTTTTGGCTCAATTAATTAAAAAATAATTAGGTTAGATTAATATTTTTTTTACACAAGCAACATACACATCACTGCTACAAATGAACACTTCAAGTTTTTTTCTAGGACCTACCATTTTTGTACAGTTGGACTGAAAGTGACAGAAGTGCAAATGTTACAACTTACCCCATATGCAGGGTTAATTGTAACAGACAGAGGGGTTAGTTGTAACACTTGTGTGTAACACACATAATTCAGTACTATTTTATTTGTATAGTTTGATATTGTTTGTGCATCTGTATAGACAGATATCCATACATCCATCCCTCATCCAATCATCCTTCTATTATGGATCAATATCATGGATAGAGACATAGAAAAGGGCTGCACAGTTTTGCAATAAATAATAAGAAATAAAATTATAAATATTGTAATTGCAATTAAATTAGATTTGTGTGTGGCAGCTGCATGTACAATTATTATTAATAATAATAATAACAGTAATAATAATACAAATGAGCTTAAAATAAAAATTTTAAAGGGTTTATTGCATTAAAAACAGGCCATATTTTTAATAAATAAACAAGTGATCATTCATAGTAGACTAAATTTTAAACATTTTAAATAAGTCCAACAAAGTTAAATGTATACTCAAACCTGAAAAGTTGTGTGGCTCCGTTTTCATTTGATTATCATTGTACACTTGGCGGCTTAGTTGTAACACTGTGTTACAACTAACCCCGCTGTGTATTATATTTTAAGCCTAGCTAACAGTCGCTAGGAATTGCTGACAAGTTTCAAAACGGTGCTGTGTTTGAGCCAACAAGACAGTGATTAAGGCAATATAAAGTTAGATTTGGAAACGTATACACCTAATTTAGAAACCAAAAAAATATATGATGAAAAAAATTACTTTTATGGTGTCAAAACACTCTTTGTCCAGTATCTTCACCAAATATAATCAAAACTTTCCGCAAATTCGCGGGAGACCGTCTTCTGGCCGCGAGAGAAAAAGAGCCTGCTTGATCCTGACGAACTATGTAAACGGTCCATGTTACATTTAACCCCGCGCTCCCCTATTTTCTTGCTTTCATTGAAGCTCAAGATTTACATCAAATACTGAGACATTCTCCAAATCATGTTAATTTCACTCAAATTGCTTTGCTGATTAATCTAATTCATCATTTTTGTTTAGTATTGTATCTAAAAGAAAAAGTCTAGTAATGTCAGACTGTTGGATCCCACTGGTCTATTTGTAATATGGCGCTTTTCCACCGCATGGTACAGTACGGTACGGCTCGCTTAAATGGTACCACCTCTGTTGAGGTTCCAAGCGTACCGTACCGATACTAAATGTGACGTGAAACACTGCAGATCACTGATTGGTCAGACAGAATCGTCAGTACCAGCCTCATTGTATTGTCTAGTTACTTCTCACAAATAGTAACTGAGTTAAATCAAAAATCAATAAAAGTAACTAATTACCAGGGAAAGTAACTATTGTGTTAATTTTAAAAAAATGCATTCGAACGTTTAAAAAAACACATTAAATGTCTAATAACTTGGATGCCCCCAATATTAAATATGTTAGATTAATAACAGGGGAAACAGTTATTCGAAAAAGATAACGCCGTTGATTTATAACGCCGTTATTCCCATCACTGTTAAACATACTTTAGACACATTCTTCTGAGATAACTATGAGGGTGTCATGGGACATGTGCACTTCATGAGGAGGAAGAGGGGAAGACGGCATACCAGGAAGTCCTCTTCACAAAACACTTTCCCACAGACGTAGTAGAAGGCTTTTCCCCGGAGCTTCCGACCTGCACAGAACACACAACACACACATTTGACCACCAATTCAGCAACATTACAGGACATCGGTAATTATAAAAAAATATATAAAAACAATTTTATTTTATTTTAAACAACAAAATTTCTTTGCAATTATATGCAAGGTGACATCAGGGTAATGCAGATGTATTTTATTATTTTTATTTTCATTTTAGTTAAAGATTTGTCAATATTGTTTATAAAATGTTGTCTTTATACTTTTTATTACTTTATACTTCAGTTTTATCTTTAGTTATTTAGTACTACATACTGTATATTTAGTGTATAATGTTAAATAAAAACAAACAAATAAATAAATAAAAATGAAAAATGTTGCTTTGGCAACCAGCTTTAAGCTTTTTTTAACGCTTATTTTGTTTCAAGTAACGAAAATGTTTTTTTTTTTTTTTTTTTAGATTTAGTTGACTATATACTGGTGTGATTTTCTTTAAACCGTTTATTACCTTTTCTCAATAAAAGTAGGCCGACACAAGTCAATTACATGACCTAACGCACTTTCATCTTAAAGGGATAGTTCACTTTGAAATTAATTTTTGATATGTTTTATCTTACCTCAAGGACATCCAAGATGTAGGTGTCTTTGTTTCCACAGTATTTTCAATTTTGATATTTTTAGGTCAAACCGTTCTTGTCTGTCAGTCATATAATGGAGGTCTATGGTCACCACCTCAAAGAGCATGCACAGAGAAGTCCAAATTAAACATGATTTAATGACTCGTAAATGTAAGTACACATTGATGGCCTAAGACACGCAACGAGCGGTTTGTGTGAGAAAACGAACAGTATTTATATCGTTTTTACCTCTTGTAACCACAAAGCGCCCGCGAACTCAGATCACTTGGACGTGGCTGTGGTTACAAGAGGTAAAAACGATATAAATACTGTTCGTTTTCTCACACAAACCGCTCGTTTCGTGTCTTAGGCCATCAATGTGTACTTACATTTACGAGTAATTAAATCATGTTTAATTTGGACTTCTCTGTGCTGCTCTTTGGGGTGGTGACCATATAACTCCATTATATGACTGACAGACACGAACGGTTTGACCTAAAAATATCAAAATTGAAAATACTGTGGAAACAAAGACACCTACATCTTGGATGTCCTTGAGGTAAGCTAAAACATACCAAAAATTAATAATCACACAATATTGCACATTTAAACACACCCACTGTCACAATCTTAAGTATTCTCGCTTCAGCGTAAACCTTGTTAAACAAATACCAAACTGAATCTGATACATGTTTAACAAGGTTAAAAAATAAACTGTGGGCAGGCGAGGGAAAGGTTTTGAATCCAATGAACACACACAGTAAACACATTAAGAAAGTGTCAGCCCGTGCCGATCTGGACCTCAACAGACAGACAGACAAACCCTTCCCGTTCAGACAGACCCCGTCCCACAGGAAAGGGGAACATTCCTCACATTTTCTGCAGAGGGGGGTTCAGGCCGTTAACCCTTATAAGCCCAAGCCTTCGAGCCAGACGCCCGCTGTGAATGAGTCTGCTGGCATAATGAATGTTTACTCTAATGCTGAAACCATCACGGCTCGTGTTTTTCCACACACACACCGACACACGAGCCACTTGAAATGGGTTTGAGTGCTGAGACATTCACTAGCATTCAAAAGTTTGGGTCCGTAAGACTTTTTAAATGTTTTTTGAAAGAAGTCTCTTTGGGAAACCAAGGCAAGGCTGTATTTATATGATCAAAAATAAGGGGAAAATACAATTAAAATTAATTTAGTCATTTATTCCTGTGATCAAAGCTGAACTTTCCAGTCTTCAGTGTCACATGACCCTTCAGAAATCACTCTAATATGATGATTTAATGCTCAAAGAACATTTCTCATTATTATTGATGTGGTAACACTTTACAACAATGTTCATTAGTTAACATGTAATGTTAGTTAATAAAAATACAGCTGTTCATTGTTTGTTTATGTTAGTTCACGGTGCATCACCTAATTTTAACAAATACAACCTTTGATTTTAATAACGCTTTAATAAATGTTGAAATTAATATTAACTAAGATTAATAAATGCTGAAGTAGTTTTGTTCAGTTAACTAATGAACCTTATAGTGAAGTGTTTCCATTAATGTTGAAAGCATTATTTTTTATAACAATATAAATGTAAAACTGCTATTTTTGATTAAGTTAATGCATGTATGCTAAATAAATCAAATCAGCAGTATGTGAGAAAGACAGAGATCAGTCTGAGCCAGATGAAACAGACGTCTATCACAGGGAATGCTGGGAAGATGCGAACCACAGGACCGGGTTTAACTTTCTCCAGGGAGATGAGAGTAAATGGAAGTTTACACACACACACACACACACACACACACACGGATTTTAGAGGCTTACGGTGACTCCAGCAAGCTCAGTTATCCACAAAAAAATATCTATAAGGAAATAAAACATCTAATTTGTCTTAAAGTAGTATATTGTATAGTTCCCATGGTAGTTAACATGTTCTGGAAACGATTATACACTTATATATTCACTGAAGGTCATTAGATCTATTTTGTATGTTTTACAATTGACAGATTTATACCTGAAGAGGTTAGACAGCTCAATACTTACAAGGCTTTTACAAAAAACTTGAAAATTTGGCTTATTAACAATTATGTCTGCCAACATTAAAAGCCGAACCAAGAGCTGTATCATATATTTAAAATATTATAGCCTTTTTGTAAATGTGTTTTTATTTTATTTTTTGTTATTTTTTAGTCAATTTGCCATAGACTTATAAATGTATTTTCTTGTTTGTATTGTATGCCTTTTTTATATCTTGGCCAGGGGACTACAGATGAAAAATAGCCTTTTGGCTAATTCTGGCTTTTTTAACCATGTTTGTTCATGTGTTTTATGACATTGCACTGTCCCCTTTTAAATAAACCAATAAATCAAATCACACAGATTTATGAGAGCACACAGAAACTGCTCTCTGAACGGACGGGAAGATCCAGTTTGGCTTCAGAAATGCTTTCTGTTCATTTAAACATTATATATTTATTTTATATGAATTGTATTTCTTAACCATAATGTGTTGTCATTTTATTTGTGGTCATCTTTAAGATTGCCTTTTTTACATCTGGCTGGTGGACTAGCGATGCATGTTAGCACTTTTGAGCTAACTTGGGTACATTTACATTGTTTTAATGTTGATTAATGTACACTGTCCCCTTACAAATAAAGAGAAAATGGAAAGAAATACTGAAGAGACAAACATTCAGCAATGTCTCTTCTAAAATAAATGTGAAAATGACGATGATGTGGGACACTCGGGTAATAAATGGTCATGTTTTACTGAAAGATAAGCATGTGGATAATTTTTTACCTAAAGAGTTTTAGTAACATGCGTCTAGGTGATGTTCACCAATTCAGACTGGGATTGGTCGTTTGATTTGTTATGTAATTGAGTTATCCATTTCTGTTCGATTTGGTACATGTCACTTTTGTGAAAAAATCCTGTTCGATTTTCGTGGCACAAGTGTTCATTGAATCGATTTTCCATGTCTAAAGACGTTTCCATTTTCAACACCAAATATCGGCAAATCCACTGACACCTAACAGGCGATAGGACGAGCGTAACGAGGTCTTGAGACGCGCCAGTCAACAATATTTCTGATGATTTATTGGCGTGATGTGTCGTGCACAATAACAAACAGGAGTGACAAATTTAGGGATTGAAATTAACACTTGTTTAATGAACTTTGGCGGGAAACGCTGTCAGATTACGAGCCAATTTGGCGTGTTTCTATGTTTATTCACTTTGCTGGGGAAGTTCCTGTAATCCAAATCTGCACGGAATTAGCACAAACACGCAACTCGTGAGTCCTCATGATATATTAAACACAGCGTATAGCACAGAATCTGCTCATCTGGCTTACTTGAACACACACGTCACACACACACACATACACGTCACTAAGTAACAAATAATGGCGTGCTTGTTCGCTTCCATTGAAGTAATAGCGAATATTAAAAAGCATTTGGTTAACAGAAAAGACATTGATATTTTTTATCTTGATTGTCCACAGTTTGGTAGTGTCGAGTCAGTAATGCCTGGGTCTCTCTGAGGGCTTCTGTTGAGTAAAGACTAGGGTTGGGTCTCGAGAACTCCATTATTACACAATATAAGGTATTCGATAAGATGCACACATGTCAATTTCTATTATTATTTTCTATTATCGATTTCTCTATGTGCATTTTAAACTATTCAAGTGTTCAAGAAGACTGCGCTGCGCACACATCCAAAACGAAACCACAGAAAGCCGCTTCTCATACCGAATAGTGTGCGATACTGAACTGAATTATTTTCTGCGTCTTTTTTCACTCGAACAGACAAAAACACACAAAAAATATGTCGGTTTTGTCTTAAGTGAACATAAACAGTTGGGAAAGAAACTGCATGTGTATCAGTATATTGGATCCGTGCAGCTCTTAGCCTAATAAACCTGTTGCCCCGTCTCCATGGTAACACTTCTGGGCTGTATGTCACACGCATCACTAGGCTTGGGAATTGGTTCCAGGTTCCGGTTTGGAACCGGTTCCAAACGTTCTGATCCATCGGAATCGTACACGTCCACACGGTAACGATTCCACTAACGATTACGAATGTTCCGTTCCATCCATTCCGGCGTCGCGGCATGACGTCGGTCATAATATGCGACTGGATCCATTCGCGCGTCGCGGCATGATGCACAAACTCGACAATGGCATCGATATCGATAATTTCTTAACGACACCCATCGCTACGCATCACACACATGACCAGCGTCGGCCAATAGTGAGCATGTGTGTGACGTACAACCCAGAAGCGGTACACTGTTACACTTCGTGAACTCACTCGAGGCCCACAGAGAAGGAAATGAATAGTCGAATAAAGTTGTTATTTTTGTTTGTTTTTTGCGCATGTGGTGAGCAGGGCGGCCGAGGGACGTTACAGAGAGTCTCGCATC